TCATCTGTCTCCTGTGTGCACAGATGAAAGCTGCATCAATCCTGCACCGAGCGCAGCAGATGAGTCATTGCTGAGCTGAGCCACAGCCCAGCTCCACCAGCATGGCCCCTTCCCTCTGCAGGGACCCATCCCAGCTCCAAATCCTCTCATCTTCCTCTGCTGCTTCCATGGGGAAGGAAAAGTCAGTGTCACTTTGCAAGAGCGAGGAGCTGCTCCAGGGTGTGGGTCTGGGGTGCAGTGGGAAGCTCATCCCCAGGGTTTTTCCCTCTGTCATGAAAAGCAACCCATTTCCATCAGGTCCTTGACTGCCACACTGAGACTGGCAGCAAGGAAGGATTTAACAGCACAGTGGGGTTATGTATCAGGATTTATCCTGCAACAAAGGTCCATCCCTACACTCCAGGTGTCCTCCAGTTGGAAACATCCATCTTGGAAACAGCTACTGACCACATCTGACCTGGAGCAATGCTGTGCAGGAAGAGCCAGAGATGGCAGGAAAAATCTTCAAATCCTCCCCCTCATCCCTTAATCTCCTCTTCCTTTTTTTGTCACTCCTGCCTGTCTGGAAGGCACTCATCCCCTAGGGCATGGGACAGACAGACCCTTGCTGTCCCTAAGGAAACAGCAGCTGGCACCAAAGGTGGCTCTGGAGCAGCAGAGGGAGCTCCTTCCCCAGCACTCTCACCATCCCACTCTCCTCCATCTTCTCATCTAACCCTTAAGGAATGCAACCAGGACCGCCCTGTCGTTTGGGACGTGTCCTCAGGGGTCTGTGCCTGTCCCCTCTGCCACACCTGGAGTGATCTGTCAGGGCTGGAAGGATTTGTCTCCAGTCCCCTCCTGCAAGTGAGCAGCATTCCTGGTGCTTCAACTCCCCATTCCCAATGGGGAAAGCCAGCATTTCTCCCTTTTTCTGAGCTGCTGGGGAACAAATGTGTTCAAGGCAGGGAGATGCCAAGCAAGCACCCAGGAGAAGGTCAGCAGAGTAGTGACTAAGCCATTCCCCGTGCCCAAGAAGTGCAGCGAAGATGGATGAGGTAATGCACCGCCTCTGATATTACCATAAATATTAAAGCAGCTTTACATAAGGAGCTTGTGTTCTCTCAGCTGCCATGAGCAGCTCCCCAAGGAGGATTTTTAGCTCCCTTCCAGGCTATTTCAGCCCCCGACTCCTGACGCAACGCACGGCAAGCGTGACACAACGCAACGCAAACCCCACGCCAGCAGAGTCACTTGTCACAGACGCTTCTGAACGGCCTCAGTGCTGCACAGCCAGGGACAGACTGTACAGGAGCCTGCTGTGCTTCCCAGCCCTCCCAAATCCAACCCTCAGAGACAGCAGCACCCAGTCACAGCAAACACTGCTGACCCACTTCACTCTGATGAGATATTTATGAATCCTTTTCCCAATCTGTTGTTTGTTACTCCCCACATCCCTCCCCCCATCCCTGGATTAAACATTTCCCTCTCAAACAAGCCCTTTGAATCTTGTTATGGAGAGTGTCAGATGCTGGAAGTATTTTAGCAGTGGCAGCAGCTTCAAATCGCTGCCACGGGGGGAGATCTGCCAGTCAAGCCTCTGCTCCGTGGCTGCGGCAATTCCTGCAGCTGCTCAGAGCCCCAGCGTGCTCCTCACTGGTCCAGCTGGTGCTGGCAGTGATCAACAATTTGTACCCACCATCCCCACAGCCCCCAGAGCATGGCCAGGACCCCCCTTCTTGCTCCCAGTGCCACCAAGCCATGTCCCCTCTCTCCAGGCTGGGCAAGGCATCCACACTCAGAGATTGGGTTGTACCTGGTACCAAGGTGAGGTCAGGGAACAGGATGGGTTCCTGTAGCCCAGTAAGGGCAACTTTGCCCTCCATTTCCAAAGGGAAGGGCTCTGGGATGCAGACCCCGGGCCACCAGCTGCTCAGAGGTGTGACACCACTGCCAGTGTCCTCCTGGGAGGCTGCCCAGCCATGCTGCCCACACAGGTGACAGAGCACTTCAGTCTGCCCACCAGAAAGAGCCCAGAAACAGGACATATATGGTCTTTTTCTACACCACAACCTCTGCAGATGACAAGCTCTGAGCTGAGCGTCACCCCTGCAAACCACACACATCCTGTCCCCAAAGAGCTCCTGGGATGGATGTGGCAGACATTTTATTCTCTGAGAGATGGAGGCAGCATTGCAGGCACACCACACTCCTACTAGGGGCTCAACCTGTGTTCTTTTGGAGGGGTTTAACCCCAAACACAGTTCCAGCCTACCCTAGTAACCCACACATGTTTGTATACAGCCACGTGCACAGCAAATACCAGGCACTGCCAAGCAGCCGTGGGAGAGAGGAGATTTTGTCTGCAGCCACGTGCTCTGACTGACTCCCTGGGGTGGGCACTGAGTCACAGCTGGCACGGCCCTGGCCTGCTGTCAGCAGGAAAAGCCACACCTGGGAAGGCCCCTCAAGTGCCACCAGCCTCCCCCATACAGCTTGCACTCTCAGACACACCTTACAGCAAAATAATTTCTAGAATTCAACAGAATCCAGAAATACGTCGCTGAGGCTGGGTTGGAAATACCCTGCTGCAAAGCCTGGCTCCTCAGGGTCCCAACACAGTCCCCAAGCCCCTAAAACAGAGTTCAGAGCACCTCAATTTGCTGTGCTAATCTCACTTTAATCTTGAGTTTGAACTTCTCTCAGACACAAAATCAAATTCTCTTTTCCCCTCAACAGTTTTTTTTTGGTTTTTTTTTTTTTGGTTTTTTTTGGTTTTTTTTTTTTTGTAGCAGAGCAAAACTGTTGCTTTTACCGTTCAAAACCACGAGGTGTTAGATCTTGAGCCTCTCCCTGGCAGGGCTTGGCGCCCCTCACCCCAAACAGAAATTCAGGGCACAAAGGAAAAGCTTCTCAGCCAGGATGACTTCTTCTTCCCATGGCAGCTACTTGTCAGGACACTGGAGCAATAATTGGGAACACTTTGGGAGACGCGACAGCAACAGGAATCCTGGAGCCTTAACCCATGACACCGCACAGGGATCTGGCTGTATCCTGAACCCTACCTTGGGCAACTCCTTCTGTTTTAACTTTTGCAAACACACTCAGTTCATTTCTTTAGAATGTTTTTCCAGCCCTCCCAGAGTGAAAAATTAATTTCCAACAACACCCTGGCTGGGGCCATGGGGCTTCTCTTGGTTCCCTGCTCAGCTCTGGGCCTGCGGTGCCAGCTCAGGGATAATGTCACAGGGCCAGCAAACATTCCCTGCCCCTTGGAAAATGGTGAACACTCATTCCTTCCCACCACAAAGCCCTGCTCCTTACCCCAGGCCTGCCAGGACTTGGGAAAAGCCTTTTGGAAGAAGGCAGATGCTTCATAATTGGGGTGCTGCTCCCCAAGCAGCCACAAGCCAGTCCCCAGCTTCAGGAGGCTGATTCCCTTTCTGACAGATCTTGCTGTTAAGGCATCTTCCCCCCAGTCCTGCATCCCAAATTCAATATCCACAAGCAAAAAAGGATGAGGGATATATGTGACACAGTGAAATAGCCCCAACCACTGCAGGAAGCAGCAGCAAATTCAACACCCCTCCCCAGTTTATGGGCATCCTAAATCCATCCCTTCCGCATGATGCGGCATCACCCCCTTTGTGGCTCAGCTGGGGCCAGCAGGAAGATTCTGGAAGCAATTCCTCTCATGCAGAGCTGGGTCTGGAATCTGGCAGCCCCTGGATCTGCAGGCATCAGCCTGAAAACTGTTGCTCTGCAGCTGAAATCTAAGAACCCACTGCAGGCAGACAAGGGGCCAATTCCACACGAGGCAGTGACCTTCCAGGGAGGCTCCCACACTCTCTGGGGTAAAACCCATCCCTTACCTTGTGCAGCAACACCAGGGCATTCTCTTTCCCAGCAGAAAGCTGGAGAGCATCTGGGGAAGGATGGCCAAAGCTCCTCCAGCATGGAAATCCCTGTTCATGCAGCTCCATCCCTCCCTCCACCCCGTCTGCCAGCCCCAACACCTGATCCAGGATGGGAACAATGTGCCAGGGTGTTCTCCAGCCCCGCATGCCAGCAGCCTGCCAGGGGAGGGGATGGATGCAGCGGGATGAAAATGCACTTTTAGGGGAGAATTGGGATTTCTTCCCCCACCCTAGCACAGTATCACAGGGTAAGATGTTGGTGTTGGGCACCGTGGCTGAGAAAGGACAGCTGGAAAACACTGAAGGTCAAACCTGTGAAGGTCAGACTTTTGGAGGTCAGTCCTGAGATAGAGCAGGGAGCTTAATCCGGCATAGTCCATCCTCCCTCTCCTGACGGCATCCTGCCCAAGCCCCACCCAGGAAAACGGGGCTGCGGCGGGGAGGTTTCCTCTTCTTGTCCCAATGCCCAAGTTCTGCCGGCCTGACCTCGATTCAATTTTAAAAACCCTCTTCTTTTCCCCTTAGCACCTCCCCAGAAGCCACCAGAGGGACAGAGAAGTAAACAGGAGCAAATCAACAGGTCCCTGCCAGCACACATCCCAGGGATGCACAGGGATGCACAGAGAGCAGGGAGATCAGACTGAAGAGCCTGAGACATTCCCGAAGCATTCCCTCCCTGGAAGCACCCACCGTGACTCAGGAGCCCTGGGCTGGCACCCACCCCTCTCCCATTCCTTCGGTGCAATATTCTCCTTGTTTTAACATGCACTGCTGCCTCTGACATCTTCCTCCCTTTGCGGGTTTTTGGGGGCAGATTTCCCTTTGTGAGCTCCTCTCCAGCACAAGCCCAGGGTCAAATCAAAGGATACACCCCCCAAATTGCTATCAGATTCTCCCTGCCCTACAAAACAACCCCCTTTCCTGGGAAAAGGTGAAGGCTGAACCAAGCTGCCGCCTGTTCCTGCTTCCCTCCTGCCTCACAACTGACAGAATTAAACAGTCATTAAACCCATCCAGGCAGAGCAAAAGGCAAACAAATCCCTCTGTCCATGCAGATGGGAGGGGAAAAGCAGCTGGAGAAGCGCTCAAACCCTTCCGGGGAGGTGCGGCAGCTCTCTGCCAAGGCCGGAGGGGCTCAGCCCGGGATGCTGCTTCCTCTCCTCCCTCCCAGCAGCCCTGTTTCCGGCACATGGCCGGCTCCGCTTCCCCGTGCCCGCCGCCCTCCTGCCTCCGGAGCGCTCTGCGGCATCCAGGGCCTGTCCTTGGCCCGGCCCGGCTCGGAGCGGCGAGGGCTGCGCTGGGGCTGAGCGGTACAGCCCGCGGCGGCGGCGGGGAGGCTGCAGGTACGTGCGGGAAGCTGCGGGCAGGAAGCGGCCGGGAGGCGGCCATGCGTGTGCAGGAGCCCCTCCTGTGCCTGCCTGACCTTCAGCGAGCGAAGCGTGCGAGCTGGGGCGGGAGGGGAGCCCTCGGGGCCGGCCGTCCTCACCGTGCTCCTTGTGTGGGGTCAAAAAGGAGCTTTTTGCCTCGCACGGGGAAAGCTGCGGGTGCCGGCTCCAGAGGCAGGCGGCATGGCAGCCCCGGCCTCTATCCCGGGCGGCCGCGGGAGCTGCACACTCACCTTGAGCAGGTAGCTCCACGTCTCCGTGTCTCTCTGTCACCCTGCGCAGGACATCCGCACGTCCCCGAGCTGGGAGCCCCGGACCTTCCACCCGCGCCCCCCGTCCCAGCGGTATCCCTCCCTTACCTCTGTCCTCCAGCCGGAGCAGTCACACCTTGGGAGCTGGCTCTTGCGCAGAGAGGAGGGAGGGAGGCAGGCAGAGGGTGGGGGGGAAACTTGGGAGTTTCCCACAATGCACCTCTGCAGACTGCATGAAGATGGAGAGCAGGGAGGGGGGAGAGGGCGCTCCAATCCAGAGGGAAGGGCTGGGATCTGGAGGGGCCGGGTGCCAAGGGGGGGCCGCAGGGTGGTGAAGGCAGCCCAGCTGCATCTCCACATCCTCTGTCATTTGAGGCTGAGCTGGCTCAGCAGTTCAGGGCTATCCCTGCGGCACTGACCCCTCTCCTGCTCCGTTTGACTCTCCTCCAAATCCTGCCTGGATTTGCAGCAATTGCATGAAACATAGCAACGAAGTGGGGAGGACACACAGGGAAAAATACCCAGGAGCAGGCCAGCCTGATAAATTGGGATGCCTCTGTGTAGACCACAGGCAAAAGGAGTATGAGCCTCCCCCCACCAGGATTTCCAACTGAGATGATCCCAGGCAGCGAGTTAAGGAATGTAAAACTGACTTGCCAAGGAGAAGCTCTGCACAGTGGAGGGAAGACACCGAAATGCTGCACCTTGTGATAGTTCTGTGCCAGCTCTGCTTCCCTTCTCCCCAGACTGCTCCTTGTCCCAGCAGGCTGGGATTTGACACCCCTTCCCAGACCAGAGCTGGGCACACAGCCCAGTCCCACTGCAGAGCGCTGTCAGCCAGCCAGGCACTGTCAGACACAGCCACCTCCTCCTCATCCTCACCAGCTAAAAGCAAAGAGACCTCTCTGTTACAGCCTCACCCCTCCAACCAGGTACAGGGCTCAAATTCCCATCCCTATGTCACTTCCTGCTTGTATCCCAAACCTCAGCAGGTTCTGAGATTCTCTGGAGCTCTTTCAGCCCTTATTTCAGAGCAAATCGGGCTGTGTGCTTCTTGCCCATCTGCCTCCACCCTGCTTGGGACCCACCAACCACCCACCAGTGCCCAGCCAGGTGTATGTCATGTCTAAAAAATACTCAGGTTGCTTAAATCCCACTGCAGAGAAAAATCCTGCCTGTGTTAGAAGAGAGCTGCAGAATGAGGGGCTGGATGCAAGAACATAAATCTCCCAGGACAGGCTATGCTTCCAGGGCCTGCCTTGGGATGCAGCTACCCACACCCCCTCGGGGCAGGGATGAGCAAGGTTATTCCTTCTGTAGTCCTTGGCTCCAGGAGCCAGCTGGGCTCAGACAGTCTGGCACAGACGGGATTAGCTGTGGCTGGTGCTGATGTACCCTCTGTTCCCTGTCTGGTCCTGCACCCAGCAGTGCCAGCACTCTCTGCTCTTCCAGACACTTGTGCCAGGCACAGCCACGACCTTTCCATGGCTCCAAACAGCTGCTTCCCCTTCCTAACACCACCCAAATCTGCTGGATTGACAGACAGCAGAGAGGGCTGCAGAGGGGCTGAATTCCTGCAAAGCTGGTGGAAATCCACAGTTTAATGCAGGGGACACCCCCAAACCACTGCTTCCCTAGCAAAATCTCTTTGCTACTTCTGTATCAAGCAGGAATATCCTCAAGGTGGCAGGAGGAGGGAGGGAGCCTCCTGCAAGTGGGAACCACCGGGTCTTGTCCCCAGAGCCTGGATGAGGGGCTCCAGCAGCGGTTTCCTTGTGATCACACACTCTGCCTGTGTCTTAGGAGATAAGCAGCCCCACGTGATGCTCTCACACGCCTCAGACCAGAATTCACGTTACATTTAAATTCTGGATGTAAACTTTTTTTTTTTTTTTTACTGAGGTAGGAAAGAGGGAAGTGAAGGAAAAGCTGTTAAAACAATGCACTTCCCCCATCTCCCCGTGGCAGAGTCACATCCCCCCTCACGCAGCGCAGGCACAGCAAGCAGCAGCCCTGGCTGAGACACAGCAAGGTGAAAATGGCTTTTTCAAGGTCAGAGGGAGTGGGAAACCTTTAGAAACGGTGCTGCTGGATTTGCCCCCTCCTCCTCTGCTCACAGCACCTCCCAGGAGGAGTTAGCAGGGATAAGGACAGCCCTGGCTCCTGGGGAGCTCTCCCTGCAAAACCCACAGGGGAATGTTGGTGGCAGCAGCATCCATGGGAAGGAACATAGAATCGTGGAATTGTTCAAGCCCTCTGAGGTTATCATCAGGACCAAACATTCCCCAGCACTGCCCAAGACATCACTGTCCCTTGTCCCCAGGTGCCACATCCACGCAGCTTTTAAATCCCTCCAGGGATGGGGACTCCACCACTGCCCTGGGCAGCTGTGCCAGGAATGGACAACCCTTTCAGTGAAGGAATTTTCCCCAGTATTCCATCTAAATGTCCCCTGACACACTTGAGATAATTTCCTTTGGAGAGAAGCAGTTGTCCCCAGAATTATTTGACATCGTGCAAGCAGGAGGGACTGTGTAATGTCTGGCTCTGAGCAGGGAAATAAGAAGTCCATAAGGAGTCCCTAAACTCCCAGTGTGCCTTAAAACATCCTTTCTCGCTTTCCCAGTATCCCTCACAGGCTGCTTTGCTAAACACGTCATTCTGAAGCTTTTTTTTTTTCCCCATCATGGAAAGAAAATCATCACTCACAGAAAATAAAATCATTGAGTGGGTTACCCCCTCCTAATCCAGACACAGGTGCCCTGTACATGAGCTGGAGCAGGCAAACCAGGAGAGCAGGTCACAGCACAGGCTCACACCCCTTTCATCCCTGAGCATCCAAAGATCCTAAAGGAGCCTCTCTCCTTTCCTAGAGCCCGAGTTACAACCTGTCCCACAGCTGGAGAGGGGGGAAAAGGCCACGCAGCAGCAAACTCTGGCTGTTGGGGCAGCACCATTTGTCCGTACCTCAAACTCCTGGGAAAGCAGGATGAAGGACATTTCTCACTGTGGAATGACTTGCTGCAGCACCCAAGGTGGGTTTCCCTGGCAGCAGGAAGTCCCTGCAGTGAAAATCCAAGCCCTGCTCCCCCTGGGGTACTATTTATAGCCTGGAATGCTGAGCAGCCTCACCTGGAGCCTCCCCACCAGCTGGCATGGGCCTGGGCTCTGAGTTCAGTCGTGGGCACTCCTTGTTGAAGCAGTTCTGGGGACAGGGTCACCCAGCTCTGTCCAGGCAGCTCATCCCTGCAGTGAATTACATGGGCTTGTAATTCCTCGATAAATAAACAATTCCTCCTGCATTGTTTAAAATTACGGAATGGTTTGGGTTGGAAGTGACCTTAAAGCTCACCCAGTGCTCTCAGCACTTTCCAGCAGCCAGCTGGGCAGATTCTTTCCTCTTGGGATGGGGATTAAGGATATCTCTGCAGAGGTCTGTGCTCTGGAGCCTTTGTCCCCTGAAGCATGCAGGGCAGCCCCAGGCAATTGCCTTTACTCCCAGGTGATGAATGAGGATGATAAAACAAGGGTGGATAGATCAGGATCAGGACCCAGAAGGAGAATGGCCAACCTACCAGATCCTCACAAATTGTGTCTTTAGTGCTGCAGCCAGACTTGGGAGTGCACTGAGCATTGAAATAAGCAGCTGGTGGTGTGTCGGGGGCACAGGTGAGCTGGTGAGGAATTTCTCTGGGCTGAGAACTGACCCTGCTCCTCTTGGCACAGGGCACAGGTGGGACAGCAGAGAGCACATGGTCTGGGAGTCCCGCCAGCACAGGGAGCTGGGCGCCTGTCCCAGGGAGAGCCTGTCCCTCCAGAGCCGCTTCACCCCCCTGACCATCACCAGGGAGCCTGGGAGCAAGCACGGAGCCAAGGATGGAGCTGTGGGAGCCAGCCAGGGATGTGCCAGCGCCAGCAGCGGAGCAGCCGCCACCACCACCATGCTGTTTGAACCCAGTGGAGACGGGCAAACCCCGCAGGTCGTGGTGCTGGTGGGGGCCCCAGGGATGGGGAAGACAACGATGGTCAGGAAGGTGATGGTGGAGTGGGGAGAAGGGGCACTCTGCACGCAGTTTGACTTTGTCTTCTGCATTGACTGCAAAGCCATCGTCCTTCCCATGGAAGCCAGCATGGCAGACCTGGTTTCATGGTGCTGTCCTGGCCTGCAAGTGCCAGCTGGGAAGATCCTGGATGACCAGAAGAAGATCCTGTTCATTTTTGATGGCTTCGAGGCCCTGGGGTTCTCCTTGGTTCAGCCTGAAGCTGAGCTGAGCTCTGACCCCAGAGAGGTGAAGCCGCTGGAGCTCACCCTGATGAGCTTGTTGAAGAAGACTCTGCTCCCCAAAGCCTCTTTGCTTATCACCATGAGGCCAACAGCTCTTGGAAGCCTGAGGCAGTGCCTGAAGGGTGAGAATTATGTGGAGATACTGGGATTTTCAGCAGCCAGGAGGGAGGAGTATTTCCACAGGTATTTTGAGAACTCCAACAAAGCAGACGTGGCCTTCAGGTTTGTCAAAGGCAACGAGATCCTCTATAGCTTGTGTGTCATCCCTATCATGAGCTGGACCATCTGCACCATCCTTGAACAAGAGCTTTGTGGGAAGAAGAACCTCCATGAGTGCTCCAAAACCACCACAGGGATGATGATGTTCTACCTCTCCCAGTTACTGAAGCACAGGGACAGGGACAACCCACAGGTCCTCCAGCAGTTCCTACTCCAGCTTTGCTCCTTGGCGGCCGAGGGTATTTGGAAGCACAAGGTCCTCTTTGAGGAGAAGGAAATCAAGGACTGTGGCTTGGACCTGCCAGGTCTTCTCCCCTACTTCCTCAATGAAAAAATCCCAAGGGAAGGAGAAGACCATGAGAGTGTCTATGCTTTCACCCACCTGCACCTCCAGGAGTTTTTTGCAGCAATGTTTTACGTTCTGGAGGATGATGGGGAAACGATCAGCAGCCTGGGGAGGCTTGAGAAGAACGTAAATAAATTATTAGAAAGCTACAACAAGTCCAGAAAGGATTTGAATGTAACAGTGCGATTCCTCTTTGGTCTGGTCAGCCAGAAATCCATAGAGTACATGGACAATACCATTGGGTGCAGAATTTCACCACGAGCCAGGGAAGAGCTGCTGGAGTGGCTTCAGGGGAGGCACAGAGGCCTCTCCCACCCTGGCCAAGCACTGAAGGTTTCGGAGATGGACACTTTCCACTTCTTGTTCGAGATGAACGAGAAGAGCTTTGCACAAAGTGCATTGAGTCATTTCACTGACCTGGACTTGCAGGACACCAGGCTGACCCTGTATGACCAGATGGCTCTTTCCTTCTGCATCCAGCACTGGGCTGGGCTGGGCTCCATCACCCTGCAAGGGTGCTCCTTCCACTGGCGGGATCCTGAGGCAGAGCTGGATGTGTCAGTGCCTTGGTAAGTCCTGTTCCTCCTTGCTTTAATGACCCAAAACTGCAAAGATTTCTCTTCCTCTGTCCCAAAAGATGATTCAGCTCCTCCCTCCTGAACACCAGTTTGGCCTTTCCCTGGGTGTTTGGTTCTGCAGCAGATGATTTACTTATTCTTGGGGAGAATAAGGAACACGTGGGCTCCTCCGTCCGCTGCCTACTGTGGGATTGACAGTGATGGAGCTTCTTGGCTCGACCTGGCAAGGCCCACCTGTGGCCAGCTGTCACTCAAAGTTCCCATCGTCCCCCTTCTCCCTTGAAAAGGGGATCCCTTGTGCTGGAATGTTAAATGCGCCCTGTGACTCACCTTACATCTCCGGGTGGCTCCAGCAGCAGTGCTTGAGGTCCTTTGCTCCTCCAAAGCCACAAAGGTCCCTCTGGAGGAGCTGGAGGTTCTGCTCGGGGTGGGGGGGTTGTCTGCTGGTGTCAGAACCGCGAGCTGCCACCACTGCAGCTCTGTTTCCTTGCAGCTCTGGAGTCTCGGGAGCCAGAGGACATCCTGGTGCCCTCGTCGCGCGGCG